CACACACACACACACACACACACACACACACACACACACACACACACCAGAGGTAACATGGAAAAGAGGGAGGCAAAGGACCACACAAGCTCGGTAAGATGGCTAGGCAGAGAGGCTTAGAATCTCTGGACAGCTAAATTGAGACACCTCATGCCCCCATACCGGGACTGTTAGGACAGCAGCAAAGAGAAAAACTTGGGGATTCTGGGGAGACGCTTGAAATGGCCTGCATCCAAAGAAAAAAAAGAGAATTGTTTTGCCTGTGATGTTTTCCTTCTGTGTGTCTCCTTTCACTCCAGTGGCTGTCAGGAAGAGGGACTCGGTTTTTAAAGGAAAACTAGAGAAAGGAGAACAGGACCAGCCTTGTTTCTATGAAGCAGGTGCTGTTTGCTGAGCCTGTGAATCTAGAGGGAACTGGGGTGGGGGGTGGTGAGCGAGAGAGAAAGGGAGAGAAAGAAGGAAATAATGAGGGATAAAAAAATTAACTTTTAATTGGAGGGTGTGAATAATGTATTTTTGATGTTCTAATAAATGTGTGAAGCTGACATACATCCTACTAACTGGTGAGCTACACTAAATTTTGGCAAGAGCAGGGAAGAGTCATTGTTGAAGAAAAATCCACTTCAGCAGAAGATCTGGAGGTTGGAACTGGCAAGGGGATGTGGAAGGGGATTCGATTAAGTCATGTGATGAGGGGATATAGACAGAATAGTCAGAAAAGGAGAGAAGTGTCTCGATTCAGTTTCCTTGAGTTGAGAGCAACATAAGACATCATTTTGTAAAGAATTAGACAAAGTACAGAGCACAGAGGTTTAATGTATGCAAAAGTAGTATATATCTGGGCTAGCAAAAAGGTGCTCCGTCAGACGCCAGATGTTCAGAATGAGAGAGGAAAGCTGAGAAACTGCATTTTACCTACAAAGCCTCATCCCCACCATTTCTGTCTTCTGCTTGTTTCCTCTTCTGCATCTTACCCACGTTATTCCTTCTGCATGCTGCAGGTGTCTCAGCTCTAAAACATGCCAGAGAATGGTGGACCCATGTAGTCCCAGACCTTCAACTACAATTTAAAAAATCTAGGTAAAACTCTGAAAATTTAACCGCTTCCCCACCGTAGACTGTGTTGTTTCTGAGATCCCTAGAGAAAGAGGACCACTGAACCTGGCCCAAGGGAAAACACGTTGGAGGTCAAGGTTCTTGTGAAATAACTTGAGGAAGTGAGAAAGTGGATGAATGGTAGAACATCACTAACTCATGTCAATGGGAAAAAAAAATGTTCCAGAATTTTTCAAGGGGAGGGAGAGTTGATCACATGAAAATAAAGAAACTTGGCTGTGTTTCCTTCTGTTGTATTCTAAATCACCCATGATGTTTTAATGAGGAAAAACACACATTAAAAACTCCACAAACGTGCATCTGATGAATGTGCATGCATTGATGTAAGTAAGCGCTGTTCACATCATCTCCGACATAACTAGAAACAAACACTTGTTCCTTCTTAGTCAAAGTCTTGTACCCACCCAAAGAGAACTACTGTTCTACTAGCCATTCCCAAAGAATATTACTTGCTCTTAAATTTCTCAGAGGTGGAACATTAGGGGGTACAGTGTCCAGCACCTTATTTCTGTCACTTATTATCATGCCTTGGAGACATGACGCTGATGATTATCTGAGTTGGGTCCATACATTAATCTATCATTAGTAGTAAACCCGTTGAGAATGCTCCCATGATGCACACACACAGTCATTTTTTTTTTTTTTGGGTGAAGATCAAGAAATATAAATCACTAAATTTACTTTTTACACCAACAGTGGAGAAGTTTGTGTGGCAATGATTCGAAGGTTTACTTTTGTCTGAAACAGTTAGATAATGTGACATGATGATGGTGAGAATTGTCAACATTGAACAACAACTGTCTGAATGTGTGAAATCCTTTGCACACATTTCTTTCTCATGAACCCCATATCAATTATGCATCGCTATTATTAATGTACTAATGTTATTATGTTGTTTACATACTACAAACTGACTGCAAGACACTGTATTCAGTGTCTGCACTGAATATGTATTTAAGTGTGTGTGTGTGTACATGTGTGCACTCAGTGAATGGAATGGAGCTATGAGAACAAGGAGTGATGGAATTTCTCACTTCCGAGATGAGGCTGGAGGTTTATCTGAAGAGTTTGGACAACCTGAGGAATGAAGAACACTGTATTTCATGTAAACAGAAGGGCATAAGAGGAGTGAAAATAGCAAATAGGCTTTGTTTTCATTTGTGTTTGTGTGCAAACACATATTTTCGGTAGTATTCAGAGAATGAGATACTGAACAGTGAACAACCTAGGGGGAACAATTTTTTAAAACAGCCTTTAAATTTCCAAGCCACAGAAACACATAGAAAGCTCAAATGGAAGGGAGAAAGCAAGAGTTCATGAATACTGGTACTTAGGTCCTTGGGTCCAGAGTTGGTTGATAAGGAAAGCAATCAAAAAGGTATTAAAAGAATCAAGAAAAGAGGCCACTGACATTTAAATATAGAACAGTGAACCCCAGGGGAAAACTCAGGCTTTCAACTAACAAAACTTGGTATTGCACAGTTTTGAATACTGTGAATACTTACACGTATCCTACCTATGGCCTCGGAGGTAGATAGAGACAACTGAACTTATTCTATTCATGAGAAACTACAGATGGATGAGGTTCAAATTACCCTCCATAGGAGTGCAAGCGCAAGCTTGGAAACACACACATATAGCTTTGCTGCAGCACCTTGCCTTTCTGCATGAACAATGGCTGAGACACACCCGCATCTCCCTCCCACCGAAATGTAAGAGCATCACTGAGCAGACACTGTCTGGTTTCTGTGGACTGAAATTTCTATTCTCATCTCTAGGTACTTGACTCCTGAAAAGTTAACCATGTGAGACTACATCCATGTGTATGGACACCCAGTATGTGTCTCGGCGAAATACATTATTGTCCCCAAAGCCTCCATTGTTAAACTCTTCTGTGGAACTTGACATCATATAGAAATTCAAGATGTTGATACCTAACACTCTCAACTGTAATTTTTTAGGAAGGTTCTATAGTGACGTATAGGAAGTCACCCCTACAGTGTTTCACTGTGCTTTCTAATACTTGATCTTTTTAAAGTTAGGAAGACTTAAAAATTATAGTAGGTTACATTACTATTCAAAAATAGGAGGGATATTCTTTCTATCTATGCTCTGATGGATGCCCAGAAAATAATGGGCGCTCAGTAGTTGCTGAATGAATTGCTGTCATCTATGAAATACTGTTTATGCTTTTAGTTGCACGTGCTCTTTGTAGCTGATCTCATCAAGCACCTGACTACTTTATTGGACTTAGTTTTTTTCATTTTGTTAAACAAGCCATTCTGCTAAGAGATTATCTGATAGTTACACTCTATTTCTCACATTCCAGGGCTACTTTCATTTCCTGGCTTTACTTTATTCCATGAAAGATCACCTTGCCTATCTATGTATCATGCTTTTCCCTGTGCTAGAGAAGAGGAGAAGAGTTCCTGACGTCTTTACATCCTTCATCACTCTTACAGGAGCAGTGAAGATGGCTGGGAAGGCCGTTGCCTGATGCATCATTTTTCAGTAGTTTGCTATGATAACATGGTAATATAGCTATGCATAAATTTTCAGGTATGCCGGCTTAAAAACAAAACTTACACCAATTCATCAATCCTTTTTCTTTCCTCTTATTTCTTAAATGTGACCTTAAACATGGCTGGTTCAACTAGATTTAACTATTCTGTTCTATTAGATTAATTTTGTGAAATCTATGGAAAAATATATATATATATATATTTCAAATATATATATATATTTGAATATATATATTCATCTCCCAATAAGTTACAACAGGTAAATTGGGACAGCAATTGTTTCAAAGCTGCGGTCCTATTTGAGAAGGTGGTGAGTTCCATTTCTAGAGTAGGAACTGAGCATAGCCTTCCTGCTAGTGTTTAAATCAGCAATGAACAGGTATGTTAGAAGGGAGTGCTTTTGAATTAAGTAATTGCTTATCATGTTGAAGTTCAGTCAAATATCAGATCCCAGTATTCCCCAAATGTTGGTTTTCTTGTATGGTTTATGGCATACATCACTTAGTGACAACATTAGTCTCACCTAGCAGGAGCAGAACTTATATGAACTCTGGGTGGTGGTGGCATTGGTCCTAAGAATGCTTACTCAGGGGGCTAAATTTCTACCCTGTTCTTTATTTATTTATTTATTTATTCATTCATTCATTTATTTATTTATCTATCTATCTATCTATCTGTTTGTTTGTTTATTTTGACAGAGGTTGGGTTGACCTTGAACACAGTCAGCAATAGTCTTTAACTGGTTTTCCCCCGATTGTGACTGCTGAGAATCTTTACTTCTCACATATCCTCTGTGCTCTATTCTATTTACTGGATTTTCTAAAATTAAATGCTTAACGTTTATTTGAGCTAAGTCTGCTTTCTCTATCAACCACATCAGCCCCATCATCTTTTTATTGCTTATTGTACATAACATTTGTGACAGAGATAAAATGAGGCATAAGTTGCAAGTGAAAGTTCTGTTTTGCCTAACAGTGTGAGTTATATTGACTTCCTTCTTTGTTGACATTGTTTTTGATTGCTCTATCTATATCAATATTGCAAATATTATCGTTAAATATTCTGCAGAATCCATATTTGGTCGAAATGTATACTTGTGCGTTTATCGCAACACCTCTTAATCCAACAGACAAATCTAACTAAGAAGTTGTTTTTCCGAAGAGGAGGAGGAGAAGGAGAAAGAGGAAGAAGAGGAGGAGGAAGAATAAGAAGAAAAAGAAGAGGAGAAGGAGGAAGAGGAGGGGCAACCACCCCCACCCACCCCCAAAAGACTGGGTACATTTTTATCTAGAAAGGCACCCCCGCCCCTTACACCTGCTTTGAAGAGCCCTTTAAGGTGTGTGCCAGTGTAAGCCTTTTCCCAAGCCGTTTGGATGATGCTGCGACAGGAGAGATTTTTGCATTACAAAGACGTAATTTTAAAAATGCAGAGCAGGTAGTTAATAACTAAGAGCCTGGGGGATGGAAAAGAGAAGAGAGGCAGGAGCATTATCTGCCAGCTGGGGGCTGACCTGATTCCCTAGAATCCTCAGCTTTCTTCCTCTTTCCTCCCACCATCCTTCTTCCCCCCCCCCCCCCCGCAACCCCTCTTTTCCCTTCCCCAGATAAGCAGCTCCGGGAAACAAAGAACCGGGCTCTCCAGACCTCAGCGCTGGAACCTAGGGCTTTCGGAGAAGAATCTCTTTTCGGGGACCAGGGCTCTGGAGCTCCGAGTCCCCTCCCCAACCTCCCCCGCCTCCCTTGCTTGCTCGCTGCTCCCTCCCTGCTCGCTGCCTCCCCCACCTTCGCTGCGCTGGGAGGAAGGCGGCCAGGGCTCAAGATGGCTTTAGCCGGGCTGTGCGCCCTGTTCGCCTGCTGCTGGGGCCCGGCTGCGGTGCTGGCTACAGCTGCCGGCGACGTGGATCCATCCAAGGAGCTGGAGTGCAAGCTCAAGAGCATCACTGTGTCGGCACTGCCCTTCCTGCGCGAGAACGACCTGAGCATCATGCACAGTCCCTCGGCCTCCGAACCCAAGCTCCTCTTCTCTGTGCGCAATGACTTCCCAGGAGAAATGGTCGTGGTGGACGACCTAGAGAACACGGAGCTACCCTACTTCGTGCTGGGTGAGTCCCGGGAGAGGTGAAAGAGGCCGGAGGAGGCGCTGGACCAGCGCCCCCACCCCCCACCCGGCCCGCGCCACACATCCACTTGCTGCCGCCACCTCCCCTCCCCCACACTACCTCCCTGGATCCGCCCCACTCCTGGACCTTTCTCCACACCCACTTGCAAGCCAGCACTTGGGCCTTGGTGCACCTGATGTCTCCCCAAATCCACTCTGGAACCCCTCCCCTCTCCTCTCAGTTGCTTTGCCCCAAAGGAACAGGTTGCTGGAATGTCTCTGAAACCTTCCTCAGCCTGGAGCTGGGAGTTTTCCTTCAGGAACACCTCTGAACATCATCGGTTTCCAGCCCAACTCTCAGAGGCCTCTCTCCCTGTTTGCATGCCACATGCTTGGGTAGCTCTTTGCTTCACACCCTTGGGCACCTATACCCACCCACAGCCATCCCCAGGCTTTAGGAACAGGAATTCCGTGGCTATCTTGCCAGCGTGTGAAAACCTCACTGATCTTCACTCATCTAAAACCCTCTATCTACCATCGGGGCTTGGATACACTTCCACCCATTTAAGTTTCTTATGTGCCTGGAGTTCGTCTTGGGAAGTTGTACCTCTATGCCTAAACCTAACAACCTCCTTATCAGGCACTAGCACATCTCCATGACATTTTACAGTCTCTTGTATGAAGAGATGGCCCAACTGTGTGGCCCACTTATAACTGTTGCTCTCCTCTGTTCTCCAAACTTCAGAAGGTCGGTGTAGATATTCCTGCACAGATAATGGCCTCTCTAGGCAAGAGGCTTTTCTTTCCTTTGTTTACATCTCTCTGATCCCTTTCTTATACTTTTCTTAGGTCAGAAAATTGCTTCAGACACTGAATCTTATATCCCTTTGACTCCATCCTTCTTGTTTTCATTACCAGAATCTTGCAAAGCATCACAGGCTCACGTGACTTAGGTACCAAATTTCTCTACTTCTCCACTGAAGCTCTATGTCTCTCCATGCTGCCCTCACCCAACTATACAGTTCATTTCTTTGGAATACAGTGTATACGGGCTTACAATATGCTTCACATACTCTAATTTTGTCCAGGAGGGACTAAAGGTATCGGGGATGGGGTGGGGTGGGGTCCAGGATACTATTGCATTTACTTAATGTTCTACAAACTCAAGTTTGCTTTGCAGGAACATGGTTTCCTGCTAGCCGTGTGTAGGTTGAAGCCACAGGTGAAATTATAACCTCTCTTCCTGCTCTTCTTTCACAAAGATGCATTTTTATACTGAGAGCATTAGGAGTAGGTGAATAAACCCTCCCTCCTGGACCACAGTGGAAAAGTAATTTAAAAAATTGCCTGGTCCTATGAAAAGTTCATTTACAGTTTTGGGACTACAACTCAGTTAAACCCAGTGAAGCCAACCTACACACTTGAAAGGATTATTTAATTTTTTTTTTTTGCAGGAAAAGTACCAATAACATAATAAAGACTGGGGGCTGACTAGAGATAGGAACAATGTGGCTATGGTACTCATTACAGCATACAATTTGTTGAGTTATTCAGTGGCTGTAAAGTTCATGTTGAAGTCATGCTGATGTGCAAACACGGTTTGTTCGTCATGCTTTGTAAGAATGAATGTGGAAAATTATATGCTTCTAAAGAGGCTGTTTGGGGTTCTGCATACAGAATTGACTGTGCATAAAAGTGGACATATGTGGATGAAAAGGAGAGGTTGGGCTAGCAGGTACTCGGAACTCCACTTCTCTTTTTGAAGAATTCCAAAGCCCAGGCTGTGTACTGTGATAGACCTATACTAGCTACGCGTCCAAAGCCCAGATGTTCAAGAATGGGTTTTGTGCAACTTTGTACAAAGCTGCCCACTGCAGCACCCTGTTGGGGTTGCCATGGTAACCTGCTGCACTAAGGCATTTGCACAGAGGCACAGGCACTTTCACTTCAGAACCAGAAACTACATGTTTGTTCTCCAACTTCACAGTTACCAAAATATGCTCAGAGCCATTGATTTGCTGGTGTCTGTTCCTTTTGGCCTGGAATTCCAAAAGGGGCAGCATATAAGTGAGCAAAAAGGGAAAGGAGTCCAAGTTCATGGAGGACAGATTTGTTCTTAAAGTTAACTTTTGTGGCTCTAAGTGATGCTACTTAAGATTCATGGTGAGGAATGTAATGATTTGTGAGTAGATCTTGTAGATCTTGTTTCATGTTTCTCTGGAAGCAGACTAGCTTCCAGTCAGTAGTTGTGGGAATTTATGAAGCTCAAGCTTCTTAGCAATTTGGGACACAGAAGTTAACCACCACACTCCTGGCCCCAGGTGCCCTCTAGTCATCAGGAACACACAGATCCTTTTAAGAGCTGTAATCATACCTAGTTGAGTGTTTGGATGCTGACAAGCATAGGAATGCTGAGGAAAAAGATGCTCCTGTGAGGATAGCAAGCTCCACAGCTTAAAAGGATCTTAGCCAAAATCAGGTCTCATCACTCCTGGAAAAAAAAAAAAGCATGAAAATAAATGACCAAACAAGTGTTGGCATTCTTTTGCTCTGAAGATCAAGTCTTCTCATTTCAATGAGGCGAACAGACTTTTGAAAAGGGTCTTTATAAAAAAAGTGCTCTTGCTGCTAACTTTGCAAGCCTCTTATCCTTTCAAGTCAGCTTCAGTTTTTGGGGTTCTTTAAAGAGTTTTGTACATGCCTCCTTCTCCCTAGAGGGCTTGCCATCCTTTCTCTGACCCCAGCTGTCCAGCTGTATGAACATTCCACCCACATAACCTTTCTGTGATGCCTTCCTTCTCCCCTCCTCAGATCACTGTCGTCTGGAACACTTTTGATATTTTTGCAAAGACTAATGAAATAAAAGGTAGATTTGACTTGACTTTCTGTAGGAATGAAGGTATTTGAGGTCATGGAGAAAGGTTAACAGGATAGTGGTGGCTATGAATACATGGATGTAGGAATAGCCTGGCTGTGTGGAGATCAGCCTTGCTAGAGTGGAGCCTCAACACAGGAATGGTGGTGACTGCACATGGGTCTGGAGAGGAAGTCTCACCACAGGTCAGGCAGAGAGGGCTGGTGACACAAAAAAGAAATGAAACGTGGCTCTAGAGGCTACCACAGCTACAAGCCCTGTCCATTTTACTTGTAAAGCAATCTCAGGTAGGGTAGGAGTACTTGTCTCCTGTTCTTTGAGGTGGAAGTTGCAGACTGTGGTATAAGGGTAAGATGGCACTGTAAATCATGTCTTCTTTGGCTGTACATAGTTTTGAATTGGAATGTTTATATTCATGTCCCGTCATCTCTAGCTGGCCTGCCTTCCCACAAATATGAATTTTACTGTGTCAGATTGTCTTCTTTATGGTACTTGTCAGGCAACCCCAAGTCAGATAATCCAAACCTCTGCTTTCAGACGTGTTGTGAAGATTTTTAAAGTATTGCAAGGCAACTGTAATATCTATCTGAAAATATTTGAGTACATAAGCTGTATTATCCTCTTGGGGAGAAATCAAAGGTTTACCAGATTAATATCTTAACTAAAAATTCATGTCTTAGCTCTTATAACAGCAGACATTTCTGCTTTGGAAGCATATTTGATCTTGGAATAGAGTTAATGTGAAGAGGGGCATCCAAATTTTCTGTGCTGTGAATGGGATGTGTCTATCATTTCCAATGTTAGCTGAAGAGGACGTTCTTCTGCTTCAAACCCAGCTCTTGAGCCTTTGCATATACAGACCTTAGTGCAGAGACAGCTCGTTCTTGTGCTTTGGCATTTTGTATTAGCTGTTGTGGATTTAATGGAAGAAAGTAAAGTAAATCAGCCTGTAGAAGTGTAGCAAGACCACATACAAGATGCTGTCAAAAGTGTCTGGAGCAGTCCAGTGTGGTGCTGAAAAGAAAAGGCTGTGAAGGCAGATCTGGTGTCAGCATCTGGCTTGCCATACATTCCAAAAATGGAGAAGAGTGAGGATAACTAGGGTAAATAAATTACACAGGAGCCCTTTGTCAAGAGTGAATTGACCTGTTATTTAACCTTAGGTCAATTAATATGACATTTAGGCTTTTCTCTATGCCTTTTAGGTTTGGTTTAAAAAATTTTTTTTTTCAAAAATTGTCCTTTTACACAGTTCAATACAGGTTCCCTGGCAATGAGTAAGATAGAGAAAATGTATTCACATGCTTTAAACAGAGAAATCCTATGTGGTTTTTGTGCAAATGCCTCTTGAACAGCTTTGTCCATTGTGTGTTTCCTCACATAAACCTTAGTGTAGAAAGTGAACTCCATCAAGATACACCCAAGAAGCTTCGTTGGCTGTGAACAACCTGGGTATTCTTATTTATAGTCCTACTCCTTTACTACTTGTAGGTATTTATGGCATCCACAGGCGTAATGAACGAGCTGGGTGATGACGCTGTTATGTTCAATATTCTGAGAAGAGCCTCTTAGCAATGCAAACAGAATATGAAGGAGGTGAAGCCATGAGGCCACAGAGAAACACCGTGTGTTTAGGTCCTGTATGAAGCCTCTGATCTTTGCTATTATGGTTTTGGTGCTTAGAATCCACTGCCAGAGCCCAGAAAACTCTCCTATAGTGAGCAAATGGCTTCAGATATAACACTGGGCAGCATTTTCCCCTTACAGGTGGGCTTGGGACTCACAGGAAGCAACTGAAGTACTTCAACATCCCCAACTTCTCTTTACCCATCTCTCCGTCTTCCTTTGAAAGGGGAACTTTAAAATAAGTTTCCTTTATTTCTCTTGTTCTTCCATACAGTGAACTGTTTAGGTTAACGGCGAACAAATTTATACAGAGCTGCAGCGCCATCTGAGACAAAGTGGGATGAATGATGGCAATCTTAAACTGGAGATTTCAATGCTTAAACAGCACATACCAGCATAATGCACTAATTTATAGTATTGAGAGGGTTATTATTTACTGTTTCTCCACAGAAATGTGGATTTTAACATCAAAGGGGTTTTGAATGCAGGAATGATGAATTTTA